CATCTCAACCGATTTTCTACCATTTTTTTCTCATAGGTGCCACCCTCACTTTTTCGCGTACGTGCTCATTTCGAATTTTATCTTTACGTGTATGTCCGCATCCATCGTAACATTCTCATCTCTGCTACTCCAACTTTATGCTCTTGCTGTCCCGTTAGAGCCCAGCATTCACTACTATATAACATTGCCGATCTGATAGTAGTGCGATAAAACTTTCCTTTAAGTTTTAGTAGGCACCTTACAGTCGCAAATAACTCCTTTAGCTTTTCTTCAATTAAACCACCCAGCTTGAATTCTATGTGAAATATCTCCACTGATTTCACCATCATTTTGAATAATGGCTCCCAAATATCTAAACTTTTCCACTTGAGGTATAATTTGATCTCCCAATTTCACTTCCAAATTATTGTCGAATAGTCCTTTACCAAATTTATAATATAAATATTCCGTCTTACTTCTACTCAGACGAAAACCTTTCAACTCCAATGTCCTCCTCCATAACTCAAGTTTGCAATTAACCTCTTCTCTTGTCTCTGCTATAAGAACTATCATCATCGCAAAGAGCATACATTTCAGAATTTCTCCTTGAATATGTTCTAATGAAATAACCTCACAATTGAAAAAAATCAATTTAAAATTCAATTCAAGTATGAAAAAAATACAAATGACTTAACTGTTAAATAGACTTTTAAAAACCTAAATGATACAATCCTAATTAATCTAGGATTTCAAATGGATAGATCATATTCTTAATGAATATATTGTTCCTCATTTAAATTTAAAATAAAATAAACTAATTTTCTAAATTTAAAAAAAATACATTAACTAAACTAATTGGACTTATGGGCTTGAATATCATAGGCTATACCCAATACGCTAAGGGTCATTCTTTGGTCTTCTAGAACTCCATTTGCCTTTAGGATCAATTAAAACATGCTAATTAATGAATTTAAAGCATCTTTCATCCTTTTAACTCTGGATCTAGTCATTGGTCCTCCAATATTTTGTAATGGATCAAAAGCACTAAATGTTGGATTCTGACTCGTTCCTTGTTCCCATCATTCCCTCCCTCCCAAAAAGGATTCATCCTCAAATCACATGTATTAAATAAAAAAAAGGTCTATAATGTTGAATGTAGTTGACACATTCCTATAGGAGCAAGGAGGTTTTTCTTGTAGGCATTATTATTAATTCGTTCCACACTTTAAAAGGGCCATCACATTTTGGATACAAAGGTGTCTTCCTTAGATTTAAAATCTCCAAGCTTGAGATGTACCCAAACCCAATCTCAAGTTCGAAGAAACTTTACTACCCCCTTTGTTAGCTTGCTTAGCATAATGTGTTAAAAATTATGCCTAAGGCCAATCATTGTACTATGTACATTGTTATTTAATAAATTTTCTTTTGTTATCATATCAATTACTGGTCGATATGATAATTGTAATCCTTAAAAACAACTATAGTGATTGTTCTAAATGTCTTTAGTCAGTTATCTATGAGGGATCATAGATGAAACAAGACTAGCATGACTTGATTAATTTAGAGAATACAAATCAAAGTCATAGGCACTTGAAAGAGTATAAGGTGCTAGACCGCTTGCTATGAGAAAGCTGCATGATACAAGTCATAAGCTACCTCATATATAACTATTATCACTAAGCCTTTTGACTTGAGATCATCATAGATTCCTATATGATGACCACCAAACTTTGACCTAGTCAAAAGTCACCTTTTACTGGATGATCATAAAGGCTATGATTGAGTTTAGTGATATTCATACAGAAGAATATGAGTGGTCAAGATGAAATTTATCCCTCACATTAAGTGAGAGATATTACTGGGCCCCTCGATGAGTAAGACTGAAAAAATGTTGGCTATAGTATAATAAAAAAGGTTTTTTCCATTGTTACAATTAGTCCACTCAGAGTTCGAGAACGTATGGTCAAGTAAAGAAGAATGACAATTTATTGTCTAACTCTTGATCAAATATCGTGTGATAAAAGGATGTAATACGTTGCATGATAGATTACGTCGGATCATCGATCCCCATGTGAATTGGATAGTTACAATGTCTTACTAGAGGCCACTTGTGACTTGTAGGCTAATAACGTAATTAGCCTACTGTCAATTTCATATGAGCCACAGGGTCACACACAAGAACAGCCCAACTTGAGTTATAAAAGTTCATTGAATTTAGAGTAT